AAAAATAAACCAGTGCTCAGGGAATGCCACGGCCTTACATACCGCCTGCCAGGTGTACACCAGCCGGGAGCAACAGAGCCCAGGGAAGGGCCACCACCAGAGAGAGGGAACAGAGGATCTTTGCGGGGAGCAGATATGCCCCACAGCAGGGTGGGACGGCCCCAGAGAGACATGGAACTCACCGCTGCAGGACTGCTGTGGGGAGACATTTGCCACTCTGCATCAGGAGTAGTTCTCGTCCCAGACATGGAAGTAATGGCTTTTCTTTTCTCTTTTAGGATGTGACTCGAAAACACCACATCTGGAAGGAGCAGAGTCCCTGGCTTTCTTCTTTGGTGAACGCTGTGGGGACTGGTGTGCCCACCAAGGACTTCCCCGTGGGTGCAGAGGAGCAGGCGACACACTGGAACCCGCCCCGGTGCGGCGTGCCAGACCTCCCCACGCTGCCAGATGGCCAAAACGGGCGGAACCGGCAGAAGCGGTTTGTCCTCTCAGGCGGGCGCTGGGACAAGACCGATCTCACCTACAAGTAAGAGAGGCCCGAAAGCGGAGTCAGGCTGGTTTGGTTATTCCTCTCCAAAGCTCTCAGTCCAAGGTTACCTGGAACACAGCACGCTGTGCTTCCCTGTGACATGCCCATAAAAGCTGGAGGGCAGCCCTCAAACGGGGCAGCGCCAGCCTGGGGCAGGGGAGCCACACACTGATAAATCAGCAGGGTCGCACCCAGCATCTCTGCATCCCCTCACACGTGTGCTCCCATAAAGACAGCTGCTCACCCACCTCCTGTCCAAACACAGTCTACACAGCTCTCGCGTCAACCCCAGCCAGCCCCACATCACCACCACCCATCAGCACCCCGCACACATATGTTCACTTCCCTACATCAAACCTCTGACACATGCAAGGCCTCACCTCCGCCCTCGCCCACTCCTGCTGCGCCTTGGTCCCCCACAGCCACCATTCTGTGAGCTCACCTCACAGTTTATTTTAAAAAGCCCTTTTTATTCTGCTGTTATTGACATTCCCATAAACACAGTCTCAGTGTGAAGTTTTGCCCAAATCGCTCCACACATTTTCAGTTGCAAACCTGCTGTACGAGCCTAAGGAAGGGTTGTCCTGTGTTTCCCACAGGGGCAAGAGTGGAAAAGTGAGCACACTCGTACAGTCTTTGACAGCATTTCAATCATATTGTATTTAATTAAATGCAGGAGACTCTTTCCTCATAGCCTTGGGAGGCTATAGGTAACAGAAAGGCTTCTTCCTTTTTCCTTTGGTCAACAGTGTCAAAGAAAGAAATATAGCTGAGATGAACACATACCAACATTGTTAACTGAAGAGAATGAAAACTCCCTCTGCAGCAGACCTTACAGTCTGGTTATGTTATAGGAGAGCACAAGAGGCATCAGCTGTTCTCAGCAAGTCAAGGTCTCCGGGGCAAAAACTGCTTTTACAGCAGAATTTCAGAAGGAAATCACATCACACCGTTCCCATGCATCTCTTTGAGGGTGGACTCACAGGGGACAGACCTGGGAAATGCTGCAGCACTTTGCTTCAGAGAAACACAGTTCTTCTGCAAAACTCTCCAGAAATGGCCATCGCAAGGTTTCTAGTGAAAAATGCATAAACTTGCAGTGACAAGAGGGTGACAGCCTTGTCACGATGGGAGTGCTGTGATCTCTCACAATCACTATATAGCTGGGTCATAACAAAGACAGCAGCTCCATTCATAAGATACCACTAGAGGAAATTGTAAGTTGCTATCAGAGCCACCAAAAGGACAGGGTGACTGGCACATTTTGCTGCAGACTCCCTCCTCCACTGTTTTTGGAGGCAGTAGAGAAGATTCAGTTCCTGGCGTCGCAGTACCTGCTAATATGAGGGGCCATCTTTCTGTCTAGGACACTGGCACCTTTGTGGGTCCCCCAGCAGTGACAATGACTGCAGTGCTGGTGGGCACAGTTACCTTCACATCAGGCCAGGCCACTAGTGGCTATTTAGAGGATTGATCTGGAGAACTCACCTCTGGGCCCACCTCTGGGCAAGAGAGGTTCAATGATGGGATTTATCTGCTGCACGTGTTGCTTGGAAGACGGTGCCAGAGCAGTGCCTCTATGGATTGGAGATGGTTCAGTGCTAACAGAGAATGGCTACCCTAACACCACTGATCCTACATCTAGTGTCTTCATGACAGCAACGCCCATGTTCATCCCGTGTCTGTTGCCTTTCAGAATTATCAGGTTCCCATGGCAACTTGTGAAAGCTAAAGTGAGACGGACCATTGAGGAAGCTTTGAAAGTGTGGAGCGATGTGACCCCGCTGACCTTCACAGAGGTGCAGGAGGGCCGAGCTGACATTGTCATCGATTTCACAAGGTGAGCATGGTGGGCAGAAACACCCTCCTCCCCAGCAGAGCAGCAGCCCTGCAAACAAGATCCCTAGGCTTTTATGAGAGCAGAAGGAACTGTCAGCATACAACTGAGGCACTTAAATGGAGGCTTGTGTTTCCACTTTCAGAACCTGGGATTTTTTGTCAGTTGAGGGCTGCTTGGTGAAAGTGCAGCAGCTCCATGAAGGCTGCCCGCAGTACCATTACTAATTGTTCATTAATTTTCCTGGTATGTTTACATTTCTCTGCCCTAAGATTTTTTTCCTAAGTGGTGTCCTGACTTACCATCTTCAGGTTCTCCATCCTGTCCCTTGACTGAATGACCTAAACGTCTGCCTCAAGACAAATATAGTTTCTTAGTTAAAGGAATCTTGGCTCCCAGTCTAAAATTCACTTTTGGCAAAACATGCACAGGGGCAAAACTTCCCTCTGCTGCTGTTTGCATAAAGCTAATAAAGCCAGTGGAGACTGTCCAAGCAGTGCTGTGATTTGCATTCTGTGTATTTACTTGTGCCTCTCTCAGCTCTGAAGTCGTCACATCTCTCACGGGTTTCCTTCATCAGTCAGCAGCAGGCTCGGCTTGACTGAGGACCGGAGGATTTGGCTGTGTTCTCCACTGGCTGCCCCTCCACATCCCCCTGCCATTCAGCTATGCTGACTTAATCTTGGCTCAAGCAGTCACCTCCTTAATTATTTAGGCTCCACGGTCAGCCTTGCTCTGAAAGCTGAACGGGGGAGGAGAGAAACCTCCATGAGAAAAACATAAAAGCTCCCCAGGGCTTTGTATGACTGAGTTCTGCCTCCAGTTCAGTCCCCCAGTGCAGAACTAGATGAATAGCAATCTGAAGAACTCAAAGCAATCGATTCTGACTGTTGGGATGAGCTGACAACAGGAGTGAGAACTGCTGTCCCCTCATGGTGGCTTCGTACCTGGGGCCATATGATGCTGTTCATCGAGAGTTCAATGCTGTTTGTCTGAGGCGTGATGTGTCTTCCCTCCAGGTACTGGCATGGGGATAACCTGCCTTTTGATGGGCCCGGAGGGATCCTGGCACATGCGTTCTTCCCCAAGACCCATCGGGAGGGAGACGTCCATTTTGACTATGATGAGACCTGGACTATTGGGAACAACCTGGGTACGGTACTGTTTCAGAGGGAGCTGAGAACACTCCAGGATGGATATCTTTGCACTTAGAAATGATTTAACTGTGGTGTGAGCAGGGCCCCTGTAAAATTCAGAGGCAACAAGTCATTTTTATGTGGTACGTGTCCCTCCCATCGCTTGCAAGTCTACTTGTTTTCAGTCTTTCCTCATCACCTTTCAGCTGCAGCAAAGCCTGTGTCCAGCACAAGGACCTCGATTTCCCAGTGGGCCTATGTGGGGGCAGCAAAAGCAGAGAAGGAGAAACTGCTCCTCTGCTCAGCCACATATCCTGCCATACAGGAACTGTACCCAGCACTGGTAGGAGCCATTAGAAATAAAAGAGGGAAAGGATGAAGGAAAACTGAGGATCAGGCACCAGGTGATACAATCATCTTCCAGAGGACAGTGTAGCAGTCAGGCCTCAGTCCCAGTCCCTGTACACACTGTACACTGTCTGCCTGCAAAGTCTTTTCTCCTTGAGCAAGTCCATAAAGGGAAACCACCCAGGCTTCAGTTCTGTCCCTGTGGCCTGGGAATGCTCTGACTGTAAACAATGCCACATCGAATCAAAACTTACTTTTTTTTTTTTTCCTCTCCCCTGCTAATAATAGATCCAGGGTGGTGGTAGCTTTCTGCTTGGGCACTCAGGGCCTCGCCTCACAGTATCTCACGAGATACTGCAGTCCTGCCTGGAAACACATGGATCAGTGCCCAAAGCATCCACTTCTGCAAGACCCACTCAAATTCACCCAGGTCAATCCCTCCTCCTCCTTCCCAGTTAATCTGCAGGGAGCAAGAAACAACCACAAAGCCTGAGATAAACCCCTGCCCCTCTAGGGTTTCCCAAACATTTTGTCCATAATAGCATTCAAGGCTCAGATAGCCCCTCCCAACTCCATTTCAGTGCCAATTCTATGCCAAGTCAGAACCTCTGCAGGGGGAACAGGATTGTCACGTCTCTGACCCCCCTCACGCTAACTCAAAACAAGAATCACGAAGCACCTCATCTTTCTGACAATCTGGCAGAAGCATTTCTGCCACTTAGGGAGAGGGAAGCTCTGCCAGCTTTTACCTCCCGTTGGGACTGCCTTTCCTAGGTTCTCCCACAAGGACAGCGTTGGAGGCAAACTGGGAACTACCAAATCACATGCCAGTTCCCATCAGAATACAGCTCTGTTCTGCGGCCTTTTCCCCCGCCTCCACGTCTTCCACAAATAAATGTAGTGAAAGCTCTTTGCAGCTAATTGCTATTTAATATGCTTAAAAGAGCTTTATAATATAAACACGGGTTAATCCTTCTCTCAGCACTCAGTGAGACAGGGAAATCCTTAGCCCCATTTTATAGAGGGAAGAGCAGAACCACAGGGAGGTGTAAGGTGTGCACTGGGGACACCCCAGAGCCAGGCAAGAAACAGGACTCCAAGCCGGGGACCTTCTCCAAGGGACACAGCAGTGCTCCTGGGCACAGCTCTTTCAGGCGTGCTGTTGTTCATCTCCCCCAGAGAACCTGACACAGCAGATCTGCCAACACTGGAAAGCATCAAGTGAGGAGCCTGCCAAGCTAAATAGAAGTGTCTTGAAAGTTTGTAATAAATCACTAATGTAGAAATCCCACATTCTCAGATGACCTAGATGTGGCTGATTTAATTGTGTCAGTGCTGTGGAAATTCATCGCTTCAATGTAACGTTAACCAGCAGAGGAAGACTAGGGCTCACCTTCCCGTCGACCCTTCTCAGGCGTTCCTCCTAACAGCATCCCCCCCAGTCCCTGTGCTGAGAAGAGACCTGTTCCCCCGGAGCCAGCAGGGATATCCTGCTTGGAGCAGCAAGATTAGCTGACTTGCATCCGTGCCTTTCTCATCACTTGGGCTGCAGCTGGGAGGATTTCTGGTTGAAGCCAAGTGAATGAATACACTGGGACTTGTCAACAAACAGCCTTTGGCCTCTGCTCACAAGCTTTGCTGTTTATTATGCCTCTTTTTCAGCTTTCCCTAAAATTTAATAGCTTCAAAAAGGATCCATTGGAAGCTAAGTAACAGCTGCTAAATAACATACTTTTGCATACTGAAATCGCCTTCTTTCCTCTCTCCTTTTATAGATGCTTTCAGGTCACGTATTCTTAAAATACGATCTCCATACATCTGCTTGAGTCTGGTGAAGAAGGGCCAGGCCTTGACATTGGAGGAATTTTTGTGGATTTATTTTTAAATGCCACCTTCTTGCTGCAGTCCTCACACAAGCAATAAATGAGCTCCCTCTGCTGTCTGTGCGGCAAGCCATTAGCTAGTATTAAACTCGGAGTGTTCCCTCACTGATGCCAGCAGCTCCCGTAACAGATGTGATCTGAAGGGGAGCTGTTATGTCACAGCTGTAACCAACAACTGTCGCAAGGCTGACTGGACAAAAAGCAACCTTACTACCCTGCCACCTACTTCTGTGGGCCAAATTTCTTTGCCAAACTTTCCTTTCAAAAAGCATGTGGAAAATACTCCTTGTGATAGCTCACGACATTCAGAAGCCCCTCGAGACAGGAACTGCAAATTACTGACGTGCCCAGGTTAACACCTGAGTGTACGAATTCACTCACAGCGCTCCCAAATCAGTGAAACCCATAATTATACCATTTGATTCCTTAAAGACACATAAACAGGATGTAGAGCTACACAGCAAAAAGTCTGGGAACAACCCGTGAGCAACATAGTCAAGGTGCGTTTCTCTTGCCTCACATTAGAGTCCTACAACATACCTCAGTGCACTGTCAGTGGCCGATAACTAGGAGAAATGAGCATAAGAGACAGGCATCCTCTCTGCGGGCACAGTTTGCCCCTCTCATACAGGCAGGTAAAAGCATCTCCCATCTCCTCTCGTTTTAGGCACTGACCTCCTCCAAGTGGCTGCTCATGAGTTTGGCCACGTCCTGGGTCTTCAGCACACAGCTGCCTCCAAGTCACTGATGTCTCCTTTCTACATTTTCCGCTACCCACTCAGTCTGAGTGAGGATGATAAACAAGGTATCCAGTACCTCTATGGAAAACCCAAACTTGATCCCAGCCCAACCCCAACCCATCCAGCAGAGCCACCCCAGCCAGACCTTGAAACAAATGAGATCATCAACATGGAGGTGAGTGAACAGCTTGCCTTTGTCCTCTTCTAACACCACAACTAAAGTCCGTGAGACTAGGAGCAGGCTTACGTGTGTTTTTATGGCTGTGCATTTTCCATCCATGCTGCTGAGCTCAGGCAGAGCTGAGCCGAGGTATCCCATACATTCTGCCTGTCTGCCAGACCATGTCCAGGCCAGGTCCCATTGCCAGCTAGAGTTGCAACGTGCTGGGAGGGGATCTTCGGGCAGCACTTGTCCAGCCAAAACCTGGCTGAAACCAGGACAGCTGCTTTAGGGACCCGTGGAGTTTTGCAGTCACAGAGCCGTTTGCCTAGACCACACCTGTAGTGAGTGGTGTAAATCACAGAGGATGGGGATCCTACTGTTTAAGCCTCCTTCTGCCTAGTCATGCCTGAGGTGTCTTCCTCCAAGCAGTGTCACTAAGGAACAGGCTGCATTTAAACAGAGTTTAGGAAAAGCCGCTGCTGCCAGGAGCAGAGGGTGTCAGCAGCTTCTGCCGGTGAGACACTGGTAGGATGTACAGGCTTTCTGTGGACTCAGTGCTAGGGTGGCCAGAGAGGTGGCGGGGGGAGCGGTCTGGACACAGGGATGTCCTGCCAGTTGAACCCCACTGGGCAAGGGGGGACTCCCATGAGCCCAGATGCCTGACCAGGCTGTGCTTTGGCAGTCTGTGCAGCCCGACGCCTGCAACACAGATTTCGATGCCGCGTCTACCATCCGGGGGGAGCTGTTCTTCTTCAAGTCCCGCTTTGTGTGGCGGTTGCGAGCTGGGAAACTGCAGGCCGGCTACCCAGCTCTAGCCTCCCGTCACTGGCAGGGGATCCCAAGCTCTGTTGATGCCGCCTTCGAGGACCCTCTGGGCAACATCTGGTTTTTCCGAGGTAAGACCTGGATGGGGATCAGAGGGCTTGAAAAGGCATCTTCCTTATTGAGGGATATTCAGGACCCCACAAGTTCCCAGGAGAAGCCACCTTCTGGACACCAATGATCCTTCCTATTTGTTTCCTTCTCTGTTTAAACATTTTAGCAGATATTGAGCGGGGGAGATAGAAGGAGGGGTCACTTATTTTAGACACAGCCAGGATATTCTCCTCCTTTGGAAAAAGAACAGTTGTTTTCTTTGAGCCTCTACCCTGGCAATGCTGCTGGCAGCAGAGGATGAAGGAAATGCTTGCTTTCCCTTGTGGATGGAAACAGGAGGAAGAAAAAGGCAGGTTCATTGCCATCCTCAGTCACCAAGAATTAGTGATAGGCTCAGGTATTGCAGAAAAGAGTGCTGGAAATCCATCTTCTTCCCAGAGTTGGTAGACTGTTAGTGCTTTTCCATCAGCGTGGGTCTCGACCTCTCTTCTGCATGGTGCATCCACCACGTTACTCCTGATTCTTGCCCATCCTAGTGACACGGGTCAGACCTGAGCCTAGTCAGCTCCTCTTATAGCCCAGATTCCCCCCATATGGCAGGGTCCTGTTCCAGTTCAGGGCTGGTACAGAGCAGAGGCAGACCCTGACCTGTATGACTGCTACAGTAGACTGGATTGCCATGGGGGCAGCCCACCTGGTCTCTGGCCATCCTGCAACAGCACCTCCATCCATCCAACATACAGTGCAAAATGCACTCTGATGCAGTATGGACTGGATTTTCATGATCCTGTTGGTTCAGGTGTGGGAATAGAAAGTCTTTCCTGCAACAGAGTCCTCTGCAAGGAGCAGACGAGCATCAGCCATTGTACCTCCAGCAGCCCCAGGTTGAAGGGAGACAGGAACCAACATCACTACTAGACACTCTACAAGCTCCAGGAATCTTCTCAGCTGCCCTGGGAAGTACTGTGCAAGAAAGAGGCCCCAAACATAGTTTTACAGGTTGCCACAGCTCCTGAGCTTGGTGCCCAGAGGCCTTGCTCAGGAGAGGGACACCATCTTTCCTACTCCTCAGGGGCCTGGATGGAAAGTGCATGTCATCCCAAGGCTGAATTAGCCTACAGAGAGCCTGCGTGCAGAGCTAGGCCATCTCCAGCCACTGCAGGGGTTAAAAACCAATCGCTCATGAAACAGCCAAACTTCCTCCTAGCCATTTCTGAAGCCCAAGACCAGCAACAATCCCTGTTTCAGCTTCACTGTTTTCTTTAATGCTCTTTCCCAGTGCAAATTTAACAGAGAGGATGCAGGATTACATAGCTACCTGGCTGCCCTGTGTGTGCATGCCCCATCTGTGCACTGTGAGATCAAGTACTGGAAAACGCACCAAGCAGCTCTGCAGGCAGCGTTATTGCATAAGCAGATTACCTAGCACCTGACCTGCAGACAAGGGTTTACAGTGCTAAAATTGGCAGGCTCCTACCACGAGTTAAAATGAGATAAAGAAAAAGTATTACATGCTGCAGGGTAATTATAGAGATTCCCATTTTAACCTGAACTGGAAATATTATCAGTTTGGCAACCTCTTGCTGGTTTATGTAGCTCGCTCCTTCAGAGCCACATGCCCCCCTTATGCCTGTGCATGCTCACATATGTTCTCCTCTAAGAGCAGGGCTTGGAGGGTAAGTACAGGTCCCTCCCACTCTACCCTGTGCACAGATTTGGCATACAAGCAATATGCCCCCTGTCCAGTCAGAGGATGACCCATTTTTCTTCTTTCCTCCCACCCAACAGCACCAGGCTTCACAGCATAGGTGTCAAAGGAATCAACGTTCACCCTGTCAATCTCTACAGCTTTGTAAATTGTTTTATCCAACAATGGGTTTTGATCCTCCTTCGGCATAACCAGAGCAAACTCAAAGCTCAGGGCTTTGATCCACTGCCCAAACGCCTACTTGAAAACTACAACCAGACCCAGCTGACTGGAGCAGCTTGAGAGAAATACGCCCTTCCACATGCGTGCAGGGCTCTCCACAGTGATAAGCCTATGAGAAAACAGGCTGGGCAGCTGGATAGCTCAAATACAAAGCCAAATCGTTTATTACAACTTCCATAAATAGAAAAAAAAGACAGCTGTGAAAGCAGTCTTCCTCATCCTACCCTCTGGGCTGGAGAGAGGTGGGAATTCAGCTCCTTGCGCTCCTAGGCTTCAGGTGCCTGTCAGTGACAGTGTTTGTGACAGTGATGGGATTTCTCCTCTCTCCTTTGCCTGGGAGCTCTGCCAAGGCACCGCTCCCAGTTGCACAGCTCACTGCTGAGTTATCAGATACTAAAGAGTTTCTGAGCTTTGTCTCCCTTTTCTGCCTTCTCGCCAGACTCTCGGTACTGGATTTATGAAGGTGAAAGACGGGTTTCTGGCCCTACCCCTATTGCGGAGCTGGGCCTCCCTGCTTCCCCTGTCCAGGCAGCTTTGGTGTGGGGGGCTGAGAAGAACAAGATCTACATCTTCAGCGGAGGCAACTACTGGCGCTTCAACCCTCATACCCGTCAAGTGGACAACATCTACCCTCGGACCATGGCTGACTGGCGTGGCGTCCCTCAGGAGACTGATGCTGCTTTCCAAGATGAGTTTGGTCAGTGCCAGAAGGGACAAGGCCTGCTCTGGGGTGGTCTTTCAGGCTGACCTCGCTTCCCAGCTGGAAGAACTGGGCAGATTTAGATGCTTAATAATAATGGACATTTTCCAGCCATTGCACATGATATACAGTGTATGGAGAGCAAGGCAGCTCCCTCCAGTGGGGAGGGAACTGAGGCTTCTCTCACTGAAGTAGCAAGCCTTGTAATTATTAATTGCAAAAATTAGTTAACAGCTATGCATCTGATAGAGAGAATTCAAACTTCTCACAAAGAAATATTCATGGAGTCTTGCCCAGCTGCTACCACTTCCCACAGAGGAAGAGATGAGATGTCACCAGAACCGCTGCCCACATTTCAGCCTAGGTAGCTGTCCTGAATGAGCAGGCTGCTTCCAGTATTAGCTAGTCCTCCCAGAGGTGTCCCATGCAGTGCCACAGATACACTGGGTGCTTGGGATGACGGCTGTGCAACTCCCTCTCTCCCAAAGGATGTGGTGGAATAACTCACTGGTGCTTCCAGTAATGACCTAAAATCCCAGAGAAATTTCCCTACGGTAACAGATACTCTTTAGCAGGTCTTCACAAACTCCCTTCCATCGGTCCTGTTCAGATCCTAAACTCCCTCTGCCCTTCCAGGGCTAGGCTACTACACTGGCACAGCATATTTAAAATCACCCAATATGTAAAATAAAATCCATCCTGTTTGCTCTTCCATCAAAACTAAAGCCATGTGAAAGAACAGTGCAAGTCACAAATCTGGAAAAGGCTGAAGATGCAGCTAGATTCATTTCACTTGAATCCAGGCTCTCTTTTAGTACTCCACATCCCATGTGCTGTGGTGCATCAGCAAAACAAAATGCTAGGAAAGAGCTGAGCTGTGTGGGCCTTGTCTTTCCTAACCCTTTATCTCCCATCTACAGGTTTTGCCTATTTCCTGAGAGGCCAAGATTACTGGAAATTTGACCCAGTCCAGGTGAAAGTGCTGGAGGGTTACCCACGCCAGATCAGCCAGGACTTCTTCAGCTGCACACCTTCCTCCAACTCCTTCCGATGAAGAGGGGGATGCTCACGTCCTCCACATTTCCCTCTCATCTCCTTTATCTCCAGCAGCCACACAGACACAGGGTTCTCGCTGCCACTCCTGGCTTCCTTTAAGGCTCAGCATCTGATACAACTGATGCCTGTCACAAGTGACAAAGGTTGCTCCTCTCCAGTTCCAGCAGCCTCCAAAATAAAGTGTCTGGCACATTCTCTACAAACAGAGCAGCCACTAAACTGCTAAAGTGGCCAAGCTCTTCCAACAATGGCATCCCAAAAGCCTTTGAGCAAGCCTGAAATGGGATCAGGCTTTCCTAATTAACCTGGACCCTATCATGTTAAACTGATCTGGTGGTATTTCCTATGTTTACATTGCTCACAGTAGCATCCCATTTGCTGTTCCAGACATTGGCCTCAGAGGAAGGATTCCACTGAGATGCCTTCCTCACCCTTAGCCAGGGAGTTTTACGGACACTGACTGCCTATGGAGAAATTCAGACGTGTAGCCATGTTGCCAGGGTCACTTCACCACAGCTGCAATGGTGAATACCAATACCCTGTCACAGCTCTACTCTTGGTTTTATGTTGTATCACTAGTATGCGTTAGAATTTTATACTGTTTTGTAAATAGACAATGTGCCTCCTTCCTTCCAAGACGCTAGGTTTCAGTGCTGGTCACTGCCCTATTGCTCCGTATGTTCTTTTTAAGTTAGGTTCCTGGTATTAGGTTGCTCATTACCGCACTGATGGGTCTCGTCCCACTCACTATTTCCAGCAGACGGGTCCATCCGGACACCATTCCGACAATGCACAAGCCTCAGTTCAGCTCTTTGCACATGCTACACAGCAGTATGGGGAGGAATTAAAAAAAAAAAAAAAAAAGGGAAAGGGCCTCTTCCTTTCAAACCCGCGCCCCAACACCGCGCCCCACCCCC